GAGCGAGCGTTGCAGAAATGCGTGATAATGTGGGATGTTCCCACAAACCATTGAACAGTTCTATAACGCAAATAATTCCTTTACTTTTGGTGTTAGTTGATATTTAAACCCTTTTCATTGGAAAAGCTCACAGTAAAGTATCAGACATGTCCTGATCACAGAGTATTAGAGTAATTTTGAACCTAGTTAGAGAAATTAACAGATGAGTGCATTCCAGTCTTTTCACGACAATTAAACCGTACTCATTAGGTCATACTATTATTATTAATATTATGTCTGTAATTGGCCTTGCGGTTGTTGACTCGGCACATTAATAATAAAGAATTGAATTGAATTATTATTATTATTATTATTATTGTATCTACCCTGTGCTCTGTCTGTAATTGGCCTTGCGGCTGACTCGGAACATAAATAATAAAGAACTGAATTAAATTATTATTATTAGTAGTAGTAGTAGTCGTAGTAGTAGTAATAGTGGTGGGATGAGACTGAGTACACTTGGTACTACCGCCATACTGGCCTATTATACTAGCCCCAGATGATAGATGATGGTGATTGAATGGTTTGCAGGGAAACCCGAAGTACTGTGATAAAACATGCTCCAGTGCAACTTTGTCCACCACAAATCCCACATTACCTCACCCGGGCCGCCACGGAGCTCACTTTACTAAATCTTGAATCCTATTCAATAGTAAACAAAATTGCCATTAGAGGGCACAAACACTCAACTATAGATCCGCGTTTAGTGCGTAGTCAATGAAATTATCGCCAGAGTGCATTTCTATCGATTATATTTTCAGTTCATTTAATTTGATCCGTGGTAATTATTATTGTCTACATACAATGATACTTAATTTGGATTTGCATAACTGATCCCTGATGTACATGTTCCTTCTGAGAACCATCGCTCTGTGGTAGGTAGATGTAAGTGGGAAAAGTCCAAAACCCCAGTAATTCTGAAAACAAAAATTATGTCTCATGGCCGGCATGTGTAGCCGTCTTTGTCTTAGCACTAGAGATAACCGTGCCTTTTTTGTCTATAACCGTTGCTCGGTCGAAACAGTGATCCGTGGTCAATTCTTATCTGCCGCATTCTGTTACCATTACTTTGCTTGTCCTCGTAGGGCTGATTTTTGCCTGCAGATATAGTCGCCATTAACAATTAGGTAGTTGAAAGGGAAGAAGTGTTGCAGATTTTATTCAGTTCAAGAAGTAACAGGCCTAGGCATTACAATGCTAGGAAGAATTGTCCTTCCGATAGTAAGGAAGTCACTCTCATACAATGGTAAGATTAATGTAGCAAAACGGATGAAATAAAATACAATACAATGTTTTAGCACTCCGTTTATCCGCAAAGGAGGTAATATGTAGCCTCATGACAAATTTTACAAAATTATTTCCTGATGCATATTGTATATAAACTGAAATAACATACAGATAATCAGAGAACGTAAGTCTAATCCTGTTGATTTTGGCTGCTGTGAATTCACTTCATACATAGAGTTTTTGTTAAATGTTAAATTTCCTTAAGAACATCGATTTTATATCTTGAAATAATCCTGTTTCTTTTTAACGTAATTCTTATAATTTTGAATGGATGGTGTCGTCTAGCATGATATAAACCTTTGGCTGGATTGTGTACATTGCAAGCAGGTTTTATAGGATGATAGGATATTAAGAATTTAAAACAGTGTCAGTGAGTTAACATTGTTACTCAAGTAATTAAGTTGAAATGACAGCGAGTAGAGTAACTGTTTTATCAGAGTACCCTGCCCATTTTATGCGTTCTATGCAGAAAGTGCGTAAAAGAAGTGCAAAAGTATTACCTCCCAAACTAGTCACAAGGTTTCCTTTTGTGTTGGTAATTTATGATAAAGCAGTTAGGTGAGCTTGATTTTGATCTGCATTTGATGTAGCTTAGCATAGTGATGGGCTGTGGTCTAGATGGCCAGGGTTCAATTCCTGGCAAGGATAAGAGATTTTTCCCTTCTCCATGGTGTGCATGCCAACCCTCAGGTCCGTCCTGCCTCCTATCCAATGGGAGGCCCTTTCTTCTGGTGGGGGGATAAATTAGCCAGGGCATGAAACTCTTCCACCTGGTGCTCAAGTCAAGAACTGTGGAGCTATACTGTCATTTCCCCCATGTGTCTTCATGGTGTTGTGGTTAATTAAGCACAGGGACAACTTTACATTCTTTTACCTTAATACATAGTACGATATTACGCTACATCAAGCACAGACTTGCTGTTTCTCTCAAAAAGTATTTTGTTGTGCATAGCATTGGAATGTAATAGAGATGGCATTAAGATAACTTTTGTATGAATCATTTATATATATATATATTTAATTGACCACCTCTGTGATCAGAGTTCCTGGCTACAGATCCATGGGTCTGGGTTTGATTCCCGGTGCTACCAGATTTTTTTCTGAGAAGTAGTGGGACTGGAACAGGGTTTGCTCAGCCTCGTGAGGATAATTGAGGAGCTATTTCAAGGAAATAGTGGCTTCGGTCAAGAAAACCGAGATTAAGGGCTGTGGGGATTCGTAGCGCTGACCACGCAACACCCTCTATCCACAAAAGTTTGCACTAACTTTGCTGACATGTGGCAGTTGCTCGGTCGGTATAGTTTACTTGCGGACTAAAACCACAGAGTTTGTTTTGTTTGTATATATATTTAATTAACTACAAGGAAAGAATATTTGTAACTATACTATGTAATATGTGTGGTGAAATTAGCTTAATAACTAGATTCCTGCAATGAATAAGTGGATATTAGGAGAAGATTCATAAAAAATGCATTTTTAAAATATATTGGAGTACATGTTTCCACTTGTGTATATTTAAGCATTCTTAATTAAATGTTTCATTTCGTACAAAGTCAAAGGTCACCACTTATCTGACACTCAGTTTGGCTTTCTTTCTACCTGTGAATCCATCTTAACCCGTAGCAACTGGTTACCATATTGTAGAGGTGTTAGAATTTATTTAATTGATGTTACGTTGTAGGTTCTTAGCTCTTACTGCCCTTCCAGTGACCATTTCAGAGCCAGCAATCAAGATTCTAACATGTGGATAATACTACCCTTTTGCCCTTGGTATCTTGGTGTGTCAGCATAGTTGAAAAAGTGTTAAAAGACTCCTTATGCAGCCTCTCCACTCCTTCATACTGGTTTATATAACTATGCATCCTACACTATAAGTATAAGTATCTGAAAGTCAGGACAGCATTTTCCAATTGCAATTTTTAGTAAAACTTTATAATATGCTGACACCATGACCAGTGTCATGTGTTCGGACAAATCAAATGTGATAACTTGGCATAGCATGTCCTCAGGTTGCAGGTGTAGAAGACAGCATCCATATGGGGTTAGGGGGGTAGCTATAAATATTTTAAATAAGCAGTCACAGCCAGCAAAGAGTGCTCCTCCAGCTTAGAAGCATGACAGGGGGCTAAGAACCCATCATAATAAACCACAGAATGTTACACATAGCCTCAGACTTGTTATGTGCTTTTGAACATGGTAGTGAACCTTCATATTTCTTAAAAGGTGGGAAATTTTGTAAATAGCTGAGAGACTATTAGCTTCTTGAGAAGAGCTGTGCTGCATGGAGTTAGCAGGCTATTAGCTAATTTGCCATAAAGCTTTCCCCAGAGTATGGTAAATTATTCAGCGCATTTGCAGCAGAAGTTGCAAAAATGCTGCTGTTAGCTTTTTGATGTTTGTCCATCTGTCTAAATGAATTTTTATTACATTTGGTATTAGAGAGATTTGCTAAAATTTGTTCACATACCACAACAGTAATGTACACTTCACATGAACACCTGCATGCATATCAAGCATAACTTGAAAAATATTTATCAGAGATAGAGAGCTCCAAATAAAAGCTGTAGAGAGAAAGGAAACACACAGTTTGTGTCCAGTACCATATTTTTGTAGGCCTTAAGTTTTTGAGGCCAACATAAGGGATAAGCTATATGTACATTTTCTAACTTATTGATTTCTGATGCCCAAACTCTTTTTCTTATACATAGGTTGTGTTTCACGGATGTTTGCCACTCATGAGTACTTTGTTTTCAGAAGCAGCTGTGGCACATGTGAGGGCTTACCATCCACCAGCCCATTATAAACCACCAACCATGGATGATCTTCCTGTTCCACAAGGATCATGGCAGACACAACATGATTCTAACCAAACTAAATACAACATACATTTGATCGGAGGGGTTACATTACTGACATTCACACTGGGGTTTGTAAGTATTTTTAGTCTTCTTTTTTTTTGTGAAGGATGGGGGGGGGTGATAAAAACTGGCATCTTATAAAGAGTTCTGTCTTCTGGGATATAAAGCTGTATAGTCTGATGTGTAACAGAACTTTTGCTGCCCCACGTTAAGGGAAGCCACTTTTAACAGGTCTTTTATTGCAGGCTTGGCGATGCCTTGCGTTGTGTACTACTTTTAGCAATACAATATGGGAGTTGGGCGCCGTTACGTGGTCTGGTAACCATGTTGAATTATTTGTAATGTGGAAAGGACAATGTCCTGGGTTCGAGCCTTGAGAATCGGTCTCGGGGCTTAAGAGGTCTTGCTTGACGAGAAGGGATCACACACACAGTGCAGAAGTCCTCAGACCACCACAAAGCACTGATAGTTAATGTACTTGGTTTATTCAGCACTACACATTTACTTTACAACAGCAGTTCTAGAACTCTGATAGGCTTTAACCCACGATGTACACAAACTTGGATGAGTACAGTACTAGGCAATGATGGGCAGTCTTCCAGCCTAATTAACGTGTTTTAATCCTACATTACTTGTGTGCCCTGTAGTATCTACTCTTCTGCTTCTGCTCTTGTCTACTTCTTGTCTACCTGTCATCCAGGGATCAACCCCTTTAAATACTAAAGAATGACACAATGTCCTGGAATCTTCCCCTTCGAGAATGTTGTCGAACTCTTGATATTTTTGCTGCATGACATAATGCTCTGGAATCTTCCAGATCCTTCTCGAAGCTTCTTTTAAATGTTTTTCAGGTCGAGAACATTCTGGAAGCTTCCTTTAATTAGGCTGGAAGTGGGATGAATAATCATCAACGTACCACACCGACTATTAAAGAACCTTCTGTTAGCTGCTTATCTGCATATTGCTTATTGCAATTTCTTAGAACAGTTAATGCAAGACTGGGCATAAGTTACATTTAGTATAGAATTTGTACTAAGTAACAGCTGTCATAGGTAGGTAGGTCGGTAGGTAAGTGATCAGTTACAGATGGAAGTCAACCGATATATTGGAGGAACATGTCAGTTCCATCTTCAGTGTCAAAGAATAAGCTGAGCAGGCAGGTGGCAAGCAGAGCAGCTGTGCGACATCTTCCTCCAAAAAGTCTGAAGACTTCATGCGGACTACACAGTAGTATGTCCCAGAAGATAGAACTCTTTATGTATAAAAATCATAGAAATTATCATAATACTTGTAATATCTGAAAGTGGTTGGAATACAGGATCTTCAAGCTCAACTTCTAATCACATATGTGTGGTCTGACCATAAAGTTCGCCGACTCATCATGGTAAAAGTGCTACATACCTCATTGTTGAAATGGTCACTTTCAAAGTACTCCCACTGGGAAGCTATGCACTGATGGCCAGCTCCTAGTCCACCCTTCAAAACATTTTTGGAACTGGTTTTGTGGGATGGCCTTCACAGCTGCCATCATATTACTCCTGATGTCATCAGTGTCATCAAAATGCTTTCCTTTCAATATTTCCTTTATCTTTGGGAACAGAAAAAAGTCGTTGGGTGCTAGATCCGGTGAATAGGAGGGGTGTTCCAGCACAATTATTTGTTTACTAGCTAAAAACTCTCTCACAGACAGTGCTCTAATTCAAGCTCAGACATTCTCATGATGGCACACCGAAACACACTCAGACAGTAACAGATGCCACCCAGAAAGAGACTGCCATAGACCAACAACACAGCTGTGAAACGCTGATATGCCATCATCAAACCATGCTGAGGTTTCTATTTGCTGCTGCCCTGCTAAGCAGATGGTTGCTAGTTCACGAACTTTACTGTCAGACCTTGTATTGCTCTACAACTCTAAGCTTTGAAGAAATAATGCAGGACTGGGAATACCCATTCCTTTTTGGCACATTTGCAGTGTAGTTGAAAATTGCAAATATTAGCCATACCGTATTCATCTGTTCATCATACTGTCTGTGCCTAACCTAACAAGTCAAAAACTGCCAAATCCATTTTCAGGAATTTTGATACTAGGAAATTTCACTAAAATTTGCCAGCACATTCCCTTCGTGTTTAAAATCAGACAATAGCAGACACTACATACAAAACCCGTGTGGAGGCGGGGTCAAATACCTCGACCGTGACCCTGCGAGTCGTAAGAGGCGACGAAAAGGGAAGTCTCAATTCAGAGACAGTAAAATACGGTCACGAGTCCCAAGGGACTCGGACCCAAGAAAGACTGCGCTGGCAAGGGCCAGCAGCATATACAAAAGACAGACCCGTCCTCTCGTCGGAGAGGGCGCCACACAAAATCAAGACCATAAATGTCAAAGAGTAATAAATATCTGGTCATGATCGACACCAAGACTTACTTACTGACTGACTGACCGACCGTCAGTCGCAATGTGACTGTGACTATGACTATGACTACATACAAAAATCGAACTGTGTTTATTCAAACATCCTATGTAAGACTTGACAGACATGAAATAAAGAATTGTAGATAAAAATAATATTAGGTTTATGCCCAGTACATTGCATGATATATTTATGCTGCATAAAGTGCTCCCATATAAAATATAGGTTTGATAAATTTTTCTCTTTATTGCTGTCTTATTGGATATAACACTGTGTAGTCCATTGGAATTTAACTGATGTTTCTCTGAAATGTCAGTTGCCTTTCAACAGACTATATGATGTTATAGCCCAGAAGGTGGAAATCTTTAGGGAAAATACTTCATAGGCAGTATGATGGTGGTAAGTGATTAGGTTCTTGCTCTTCTTGATACATAACAGAAGACTAGGACTGTTTGTAACAGAAATATTATCTTGATTAGTGAACACAAATTACATTATAAGATTGTTGATAATCTCTGTTTCCTGTGAATTTACTCATACTCATAGAACTGTTTTTTCTGCCCAGATAATGATGTTTTTATTTACCATGTTTTCACTTTTACTGTACCTTTTCTTTTAGGTTGCCAAAAGTGGTATCATTGACTTTAACACATCTCCTCCAACACTGACAAACGAAGAAATTTCTCAGATGTAGACAGAAAATGTAAGAGGAACACATAAACACTTGTGTAGTTGAACTTCTGTTAGTGTATATATGAATACTGTTATAAAAAATACATTAGTGTCTGTTTTAAATGTAATTTGTTTATTCTAATAAAATGAAAGGTGGATCAAGCTCAATACCGCGTACTGTGAATTGTAAAATCCAGACACTATTTATTTATTTTTTTCTGATGTTACTCTCAGATAGTACTAATTTTAGTTTTGTACCTTTCAGTAGAATGTTGCTGATTTAAAATAGTTTTCACTGCAGTTACACTTCCTGCCCTTTAAAAATGAGAAGTTAAAGGCTTACACCATCAAACATGTAAGTCATATACAATGTTTTGTGTCTTATGGACAACAAAACAAAAGAATGTGTATTATCTGTTTCACTGGTAAAGATATAACAAAGGACTACCATTGCTGTGTGCATCAGAGTTCAGCACCCAAGAAAACATTCTAAAATAAGTCATGTATAATGTTTTTTGTCTTACGGTCAACAGAGCAAAAAATGATCTGGTTTTCTGGTAAAATTGCAACAAAGATCTATTGTTATGGGCAAGAGAGATTGCACTATAAAACAGAATTATACAAGATAGTGACAAGAGGGATTCTGTAGTGAGAATTTCCTTTATTCATCCAATAAAATGTACTTCTAAATGAACTGTTAGGACTGATGAATGGTTATGTGATTTCTACAAGACTAAAAGTTTGTTCCAGTTCTTGAGGGTTTAAGGGAAGTGGTGGTTAGTTCTGTAGACTTAAAAGATGGGCAAACAAGTCTAGAAATATTTTGTGGGATTTAGGGTTCAACCAGAGAGAAACTGAAGGTAACAGACAGGTTTTAATTGGAAAACGTGACATTAGAGAGAAACATGTGTCTTTCATCAGAGAGATTTTTCATGTACATGGATGAAACTTGTCCTTTCCTCTCGTGTAAGGGGAATTCAGTGATTGTGTTGACCATTAATTGCCATTGTGAATTCAACATTCTGAAGAAGTGCTGATACTGAATTTGTACAAATTCTAATTTATAAACCATCATCCTGGCCTGAATCCCTTAGAAATAATCTGGCATGGTTAAAACATGTTTCACAGAGAAGTGTTACACTAAAAATAAGATGTGAAAACACTGGGAATAAACAGATGAAATCCTATCTGTTGCCATGTTAAGAATCTTGAAAGGTCATACTTGGGAAATTACACTTTGATTAAGCTAAGAGTAGGACAACTGATAATTCAATTACTTGCTTGTGATTGTGATACCAATGATGTGTCTAGTTAGGTAGAACACGACACTACCAATGAACTTTTAAGGAATAAACTAGCATTTTTCACTCTTAAAACTTTCCTCTACATATATATATATATATATATACACACACACACACTTAGAGTCATTAAGTTCGTGGAAAGTGGTTTTATCGCATCGTATTACAACGTATTCACATACACTTATGGAGATCCACATCACCCCTCAGAATAGTTGCCGTTGGTCGCTATGCAAGTCTGCCAACGTTGATATAGCTGTCGAAAACATTGCTGAAACATATTGACAGTAAATTCCCGTACGACGCTTTGTGGCCATTCCACGAACTTATTGACTGTGGTAGAGAGTATATATCCTGTATACAGTATGTCCCAGGAGGAATGTGCCAGACTTCGGGAGGGTGTTCCTTATGTTAAAGTATGCCGATATAACTCAAAACACCTATGTCCAAAGTTGAACGGTTACGGAAATAATGGCCCAAGAAAAGTGTGGTCTTCTGGCTAGTCCATGCACTGTACCTGTCAGCTGACAAATCTTATCGATGTTTGTCCTTGAGTGTGGTGTTAACAGTTCACACTAGCCGTAAGCTTAAGCTTATACCAGAATGCGTAGTCAGCCATGTTACTTCAGTGCTTGCCATTCACGTGTCATGTATAGTGCTTGGAACCCTATGGACAACTATGACATGGCATGTGAGTTTTTTTTTTTTTTTTTTTTAGTTTAATTTTATTACTTCATGTCCCTTCCAAGTTTG